AATGTCCCCTTGAATCCTTTGAAGAAATTTAGGGGGTCATGAATAATCTTTGTATAGGAGGGTTGAATATTCAACTTCCCTAAAGAACACGCTTCGCATGACAGAAATCCAACATAGGGATGTAACTTATGCTCGTGAGAAGATTTGAGGATACAGCGCACCATGTCACATTAAGGATGTCCAAAACGGTTATGCCAAAGCAACAAAGTGTCCTAGAACTCAAGCATAGGGCCGGCCACATTGTGGGCTTCTATACCGCGAATGGTTATGATGTACAACCCACTCGGCAGACGTTCCAACTTCTCATAAATATGCTTCTGGCCATATTCATATGGAGTGATACAAAGAAATTCAGAACCATGATCTTCAGTAGTTTCAAGATGATATTTATTATCTCGAATATCTCTAAAACTCAGTAACGTTCTGCTGGAACATGGAGAATAGAGTGCCTCATTAATGGTCAAGATTGTACCATTAGACAACATGATACGTGCCCTTCCGTATCCTTTAATCAGGTTAGATGGGCCTAAGAGAGTTGTCAAATGAGCTTTCTTGGGTATTACATTAGTAAAATAGTGTCGTTCACGTAAGATGGTGTGCGTGGTTGCACTATCTGCCAAACAACTAACTTCCCCACTAGACATACCTAGAAGTAAATTGATTGAATTGGTCACATGCATAGATATAAGTCCATTCATTCAATTAAGCAATTTGAGAAAATAATATCCATTCAAATAACAATCCATAATTCAAAACAAACCAAAACCAAACAAATTATTCCAAATACATAGAAAAGTTGTTCAAAATTAAACCATAAACCTAACAAAAGAGGGGGGGTAGGGCCAGCCACTCCTAGTGGGTTCGGCCACTAAGGGTAAAACACCCTAAAAACATGTCTAATTTATTCATCCATAGGTGCTGATGCCTCCTGAAAGTCCGATATCTCCATGGATGTAGTTGCAACTTCCGGATGATCCATATGTGCAAAGTTAAACTCACGATGGAAATGATACTTGGCAATAGCATCAAGGGAAGCTCGGCATACGCATGACTAATGATCCCTTGATCCAAAGTGATAGCACATGTCCAATTTAGGAGAAGCAACCTGAACGGGAGCTTTGCCCTTGTTCTTGAAGTTTGGGACCCTAGGGGCGAGTGGTGGACACTGCTGGGTCATATTTCTTCCCTTAAGTGCAGCACTCTATTAACCTTGGGCTCGTGGTTGGGCTTACCGCCCATTGCCATGGCCACAACGATTCTTTCGTCGTCTATGGCTGCTAGAATTGGTCACATGCACTTCAGGCGTAGCGTTCAAGCCAGTGGGTTGAACTTCATGATTCTTCATCAAAAGCTAGTTCTGCTTTTCAGCAAGAAGTAAAACAAAGATCAAATCCGAGAACTTGGTGAATTTTTGTGCCCGATATTGTTGCTACAGGATAATATTGGTGGCATGGAAGGTCGAATAGTTCTTCTCCAGGAGATCTGATTCAGTTAGTTCCACTTTGCAGAATTTCAACAGAGAACAGATTCTACAAACTTCAGAGTTGTATTCATTTACGAACTTAAAGTCTTGGAAGCGAAGATGCTACCAATCGTGTCTTGCTTCAGGCAAGTATATGTCTTTCTAGTGATCGAAACGATCGGCCAGAGTAAGTCAAAGGGTGCGTGGGTCCTCCTCAGTAAGATACTCAGTCTGCAGTGCATTATGGATGTGTCTTCGAATGAAGATCATTGCAGTAGCCTTCTGAGCTTCGTCAACAAGTTTGTCAGTGATGGGTGCCTTGATGGTGGCTCTAATGCCCTTTGCAGTGAGATGAAGCTTCACGTCTCCTACTTCAGATAGTTTCTTCCAAATACTTCTAGAGCGGAGAAATCGAGCTTGTTCAAGTTCGACATGTCCTTAAAACGGAAGGAGAAAACGTGATTAGTCACATGGTAAGCGATAGACATATATCGTAGAACATACAGGTTCTATAGACATATAGTGGTTTAATTTATGCATGAAAACTACGGGTTTCATGTGGTATGTTTTGAATGAAAACTTCAAGTTTCAAATGCACTAAATTTGAAACTACAAGTTCAATTTAGTTTTTATGAACAATTAGTTCATAATGAGAGGTTCCTGCAAGAAACACAGAATGCAATATGCTGATTTAAGTATAGTGGATCTGAGTTTCTTCGAGAACTCAAGTGTGAGAGCTTCGTTACTAGGAAAGTAAGTGACGGTTCAAAGTATAAAAATAAATTATTGAATCATTAATGTCCAATGGTGATCTTCAGGTCAATAATTTTGGATTCATTATCAGATTAATGGACTGCAGGTCACTTTTAATTAATTCAATAAATCGGGCTATACCGGGTCGATTGTAGAAGCAAAATAATATTAAAATAATATTATTGGATCGAAAATATAGCCCCAAAATAATATTGGGCTTGGAGCTGTGGGCAAAAAAAACTCGGGTGGCTGCAGGCCACGAGTCTAGAGACGGGACAGGCCCAAGGGATTATGGGGTGGACGGGCAGGTCCAGCAAAAGCTGGCCTGCGGGTTTGGGTTACGAGAGAAAAGGGCCCAGCTTTGTAGGCTGGTGCATGCCGTGGGAAACACCCAGCCAACTGGGCTGGATTTGAATGAAGGATGCGGGCATGGGTTTGTTGCGTGGCTATGGGCCATGGTGCAAGGGTGAAGGGCTGCAGGCCCATCCATTTGGACCCCAGGTCGAAGCCTGGTATCAGTATGCATAGTGGTGGTGCAGTGGGTGTGCCGCACCATGCCCAATTTCTCCTTCTGTTTTTTTTTTTTTTCAAATCCCTTAGGGTTTAGGAAACCCATATTTGCTTCTAATTTAATTTTGTACTTTAACTCACAAATTCTACATAACAATTTAATTGTGCGATGCATGAAACAAATATATATATATATATATATATATATCAGAAGGAAAATGTAAACATCGGGGGGGGGGGGGGGGGGGTGGCGTTCATGAATCATGGGGAATGTTTTCATGTTTCGTGGACGTTTCAAATATCTTACTTTATTTTAAGCATACTTGATTAGCAGAAAACGAATAAGCCTTTGAATGTGGTGGGATGATAGCCTCCTCCTACGATGCGTCAATTCCTCAACTTCTGGCAAGAGTGTGCTGATAACGTGTTGTAGGCCTATTTGATTGAACGATCTAGGGTTTAGAGAGGGAGGGGTTCGGCAATATTGAGAGAGAAGAGAGATTGATTTAATTGTGAGGTGTGTTTGATTCACCCCATTGTGCCTTTATTTATAGTAGTAGAAAGGATAAAAACCTTTCCCTTTAGGATTACAACATTTAATAGGTAATCTAATTCTAATAAGAATATATAATACTTTCCCAGATTCCCTAGGATTTACACAATCACATTTCTATTCTAAATATGACTGCAACAACACTGACTATTTTTGAAAACAAAACACACATACTACCTCTATTTCTTAAACATAGAACTGATACTATAACCATTTTTCTCTTCCCCTTAATATAGACAAAATCAGTTGTTAAAAAAATAAACACTAACTATTTTTGAAAACAAAACACATGTACTACCTCTATTTCTTAAATAGAACACTAATACTATCACCATTCTTCTCTTCCCCTTAATGTAGACAATATCGGTTGTTAAAAAAAATAAACACCGACTATTTTTTAAAACAAAACACATGTACTACCTGTTATTTTTAAACAGAAAACTAATACTATCGCCATTTTTAAATTGACATCGACTATTTTTGAAAATAAAAACGGATTGGCATTTGCTTTGCAAACGTTTTTGGTCGGGTCTTTTTATTTTTGTTTTCTTTATTATTCAATAAAATTATTAGGATCACTTTTGATTAAAATTCAAAATTTTAAAGGGAGTTTTAACGAAAAGTCCGCAGACTGTTAACTTTAACGAAAAACCACATTTTTACCCTAAAAAGTCAATCTTGATACTATTCACTTTACCCTTTATTTTGTCCTTATCGTTAAAACTCAAAGTTTTCAAACCCTTTTCATTAGTTTTCTTAATTTTAAATCTTTTTTAGTTCTGTTTTTATTTAATTGGAATGCATAATTATTTACTCCACCGTCATAGTTTACAAAACTTAACCAACTTTAACTATTGTATTTATTTTTATTTAATGTGGATTAAAATGATGCCACATTTCAGGTGTATTCAATTAGAATTTGATTTTAAAAAATTTTAAAATGTTGAGGAATTAGAGGGAATTGGAGAGATTTTGTAGTGTAATTTAAACATCCACAAATCTCACATCTCCCCATGAGATTTTCAAGGGAATTGAATCAAAATTTTACATAGAGTCTCTACAAATCAATTAAACTCCATAAAAATTCATGGATTTATAAATTCATTAAAATCTCTCCAATTCCCAATTGAATACACCCCCCTTCACTAAGTCAATTTAATTTAGTCTAATCTAAGGGTCTAGTCTGAAATAGTTTTGTGTAATAAACGTACTCGGATCAAATATTATTTTATTTACTTGATTATTCAAAGGAAAATTAGAGTTTAGGGGAGAAAAGTTTAGTGTTGGGTGTAAAAACAAATAATTATCTTTTCTGCATTAGCAGCCCCCCTTAATTTAGTTTTATTTATTTAAAGGAGTTTCAATGAAAATAGTGTGGGTAAATTTATTTTAACAATATAACTTTATTTGATGAAAAAAGGACCTAAACTTTAACGAAAATATCTTCAATGTCAAAAACAAAAAATTTAATGGAATAAAAATAAAATACAAAAAAAAATTAAAAAATTAACGCACAGATCCGCACGTCAATTACACTATTCTCACCTCTCTTTCACTATTTCTTAAACTCGTCCTTTCAGGCGAAAGGAACGAGAACAGGAAGAGAGATCAAAAGAGACCGAGAGAAGGAGAGATCAGAGAAGAGACTATTTGTCGGAACAATTTGTAGCAGAGCTGAGAGCTCCTCCGTACCCTTTTTAATTCCTATATCAAATAAAGTTGTTGCATAGATGGTACTCTAAACCCTATAATGTATATATATATATGTATGCATTGTATGTACATTTGTTCTACATTTTGACCCATCCTCTTATAAACTGGGTTGGATGCTCCACATGGACCGTCGACTTGCACTGCAAAGAAGGGATTTATCGCCACCACCATTGGTGTTCTCTCCCTGCTTTCCTTTGCCCAGCTATATACAATTTACTTGAGTTTCTCAAAACCTAATGCAAACAACTAATTTGTCTAAAATTTGTCCCTCATGTATCTTCCTCGTCCGAAAAACTAATATGCGGTTCTAACCATACAACCAAAACCTCTAAACAGCTACAATCAGCACACCAGACAGCATAACATCACTTTCAACAGCGACAAACACATCATCACGTAGCAACAACATCCCTGGGTTTTAAGAAACGGAAATGAAATCAGATAAAGTATGTTATTTTCAAATTATGAACACGAAACGTAGGATAAAGATGACAACAAAATTGAATTATGGGTTCCTACCGTGCCCTTTGCGAACTATCCTTAGTTGAACATATTCAGATATTTTCTTGAAGGCTTCCACCTACAAAGGTAAAAGCAGAACACCAAAGATTATGCCGCAAGTGCCCATGTAGAACCTTTCCAACTGAGGCAAGGTAAAGGAAGATATCAAGACGGACCTGCTCAGCCAAAAACTCGGTTTCAACAAAATCTATTAACAGCACATCTTTGTTCTTCTCAGCAACCTGTTAGTCATAAATTCGATGATGAACACAGTCGTTAATTCATAACACGAACCAATCGATGTTGCTGGTACACAATATAATCACCTAAACCTAATCATCTTATATTAAGAAGACATCATACGATAACAATGAATGTCTTACACTGTGCAAGAGGAGCAGCTTTTCATTTGCCAATTTCTCAAGCGACAATGCAAACTCCACTGCTGAATAAAAACAATAAGGACCGAGAGAAGACATCAAATCCAATGCAGAGAGCAGATAAAATTGAACCCAAAAGGCAAAAGCCTCATCTAACAAATAGATACATATAAACAGTTGTTTGGGATATAGATATGGGTGTACCCGGAAGAATAGAGACACACTGAGTCGGAGAAAGCAAAGAGAGATAGTGGAATTTTGGAGGAATGCTGGACAACGACAAACCACGAGGCCAGAGCTGTTGGTGGCGGTGATTCCGCTGTGAGAGACGGTTCGAAAAAAGTATTCAATAAATCTTACAGAACTGTAATAATTCAGTCATGAGCTTCAGATCATTGGCATTTCAATTATAAGGATTCATAATTTCAATTTTAAGATAGAATTAACGGTTTACAAAATTAGAGGCAGCTGATGACATAGCGTACCGTCCTCAAGTATGCTAGAGTTGGACATAATCTTCAGTATGTTGAGGTGTTTTCTTTTCTGAATTTTTCCTGCAACAGTTCACAGCTGGTTTCTACAAATTTTGAAAACCGGAGTCGGGCTGGCCAAAGTTGGCCCGGTACCCAGCCCGTTTTCTGAGCCCCAGCAGTTGCAGTTGCAGCTGCAATGAGTTTGAAACCCAACTGAAATGAACGAAAAACAATATGTTTTCCGTCATCTAGAAATAAGTGAATTTTCAATTGCCTTCTCAAACAATATATGTATATTTGGGTAATCTAAGTAATTTAATCCCCTAGAAAATCGATGTAAATAAAGTTCACTGAACATAAATTCATAAAAATAAAAGGCAGAAGCTTGAAGCATGCCCAGAAATCAAAAGAATGCAGTGATCTTTCATTGCGTAGAAACTGTACCAACGAAAAAATTAACCCAGAAATATAAACTTACAAAAAAAATCCAAGCAACTAAAAAACCTGACCCAGTTGAGACGAATAAATCCGAACAAACTCAAATAAAAAATAAAAAAAATTTCAGACAGCAAACAGAATCCAAAGGTAGGTACCGAGAGAGAGAGAGAGAGAGAGCAGAGATATCAGTAAGAGAAGAGGAGAGGAGTTTATGGGGATTTTCACGCTGAAATTTCCATGGCTGCGTGTACGCCTTGAAGACCTTGTAGACAAATGCGTCACCTGTACAAAATTAAAAAAAATTGAAATTAGAGAATAATTTGGAAATTAGGGTTTAGGATGAAGAAATGAGGGATAATTTGAAGGACAAGTTGCAGCGGTAATAAGGGAGTTCTCTGACTTTAAAGAATTTCTTGTCGGCTTTATGCCATGAAAGGCAAGTGCTCAACTTCAACTGTCGACTCCTCCAACCCCATGTCCACGTGGATTCGTAATAAACCTTACAGCAATATGTTTACATGACATTAAAAGAAGTTATGAAAAAGAAAGATTTTATTGTTTTCATTTGGCCAAATTGATTGAAAAAGAAAATCTAAATGCTTGCATTAAAACACTTCCACTGGCAGTTGAATAACATAATACAAATTCGTATCTGTTAAAGTGGACTCCATTTAAATTAGAATAATTAGGTTTAGGATACATACCCAAACTGTTATTCTTGATTTGGTCCTTGCTGCCCAAATGCAGGTGCAACGACCACTAACACACCAGGCACAACTAAAAGGTCTACCACTTCTCCAACAAAAAACCTACTTTACACAATTTTTTTGAATTATAATCAAACTAATTAGATTAAATCCAAAATTAAAACTCATCTTAGAAAATTAAATTGAAACTGAACGAAACCCTAATTGAATTGAAGCCCTTGTTAAAAAAATAAATAAATAAATAAAGCCTCACTGATATTGAAATTAAACAAAACCCCTCCCTGATTTTGAAAACTCAGAGTCTCATACCTTAAATTTGAGCATCGAACCTGATAGGACCCACTCCGTAGGAATGGAGAAGAAAAGGAAAATGCAAAGAAAATAAGAAATAAAATAACAGTTCTTTTTATTCATGTCTTTTCCAAATGGTGAAAGGAGGCTTATATACTGGAGTGCCCAGATGGGAATACATCGCTATCCTCAGAACCGTTGGATGAAGCCAACTACTTCATAGATAAGACAAAATACCATACAGATATAAACCCAATAACTAGGATCCTAACAGAACCTGACAGACAGAACCACGAAGATTGGTCATAACGGCGTGGTCCGTTTCACTTGCGTCTGGCAGGAAACAGTTGCCCGGAATTCCAACACCCAAAATCCTGGCTGCTTGATACTTGAAATCGAGTTTTTGGTTTGAGGGTTTAGATTAGGTGTGAGAGATTGTGAAATTAAATTTGTTGGTCTGAGGGTTTGAGGGCTTGAGGGGTTTTGCGGTGGCTGTGGGCGAGAGAAAAAGGAAGCAAGGGTTGATGGCAGTGAAAGGGTAAACCGAATAGAGAGGAAACGATAGCGCACTATCATATAACATCATGCTTATAAAAGATGCTAAGCGATAGTCGGGCAGTAGGTTGGGACCTAGCCGCCTAGCAAGGTTTTAAAAGATGCTAAGGCTATCTCCAACCGAGGGTTGGCTAGAGGACTCGTTTTAGCCATCTAGCCCTCCAAGAAATTAATATTTTAATGAACAGTACAAGGCCATATTTGTCTCCGTCTCCAACTGAGGACCAAAGGGCCATAAGCCTCGTTTTAGCCCTATCATAAAAAATCATCTCCAATCGAGAGCCAAACATAATTTATTATTTAAAAACTACAACTTAAATTCAAATCCAACGGCTAAGTGACGTCAAAAAATAAAATGAAATAGAAGTTATAGGAAAAAAATAGAATTTAAAATAAAATGAAACAAATTTTGTGAAATAGAAGTTATAGGAAAAAATTTGTAAATAAAAAAATAATAATAAAACTGTAAAAAAATAAATAAATAAAATCAAATGCAACGGCTAACTGACGTTAGCTAGCCGTTGTGTTTGAATTTTAGCTTAAGGATTAACCGACAGGAATATATTTATATTATTTAATATAAATGTAATAATAATGATTTTTCTGGCTAACCCTCCAGCCCTTTCAGATTCCGTGGGGCCCTCTCAGATTCCACGAGCCCTCTGGCCTAGCCCTCAGTTGGAGACGATTTTCGGGCTATTTTCGACCCTCTGGCCCTTTGAACCCTTTAGTTGGAGATGGCTTAAGCGCTAGTCGGACGGCGGATTGGGGCCTAGCGCCTAGGCAGCTAGGCAGACTAGGGGAATTTAATTAAATCTATTATATTTCGTGTAAATAAGTGTTTATTTATGAGATATTGGATCACAATGAAAACATGGAGAACGAGTATATAATGTGTGTTCCTTTAAGTATTCAACAAGTTTCTTACAATTTATTGAAAAAGTAAAATGTAAAATGAAGGTTATCTATTTTCTTTCTAAGTGAGTCGCAACCTATGCGAGTGTCTGGGAGGGTTTCGACGGGCTAGGCAGACACCTCAGTAGGTCTAGGTGCCCTTTCTTAATTTTCAAACGCTTAAGCATTAATCGGGGCGATGGCCAACCGCCTAGCCTAGGCAAGGCCTAGGCGCCGCTAGGTGTAGATTTTAAAAAAAGTGTATAAAAGCAACATGTATGTCATACCCTTTTTAGTCATTTCATTGTGCAAGTAAGAAAAAGACAGAAAAAGCTGAACTGTAAAACAGGGGTATTCCCGTCCTTTCAATGTGTTTAAGAGCAGTGAAGCTGCTTAACTCGGTTTTAGTGTATATAGAATTTCACATGTTCCATATTTCCTAAAGTTTTCAAATGTTTTGTCGTGACCATATTATTATTTTAGATCAGTCAAAGTATCATTTGAATTAAGTTGTGTTAGATTAGTAACACCAAGTACTCTAACTAGGCTATACTTAATGTCATGCCTGTTTAGTGATGGCACGTGAATAGGAATTGACCTCGGTGGTGGATTCTTGTGTTAATATTTTGGAATAATGCTTTGGAATTCAGGTAGGAGAAATTTTCGGAGAACCTTGATTTATGTATATTACATGGCTTCATATAGATGATTATGTGATACATGTTAATTGGTGCAATTCTACTTTTTCAATTCTATTGAGAAAAAACGCGTTATCTTCTTCTTTTAACCAATCCAAGATCAAATAAAATTAGTTCACTCTTTTTAACAACCCAAACAAAACTATAAGCATGTAGCTCACGTTGCATGGGAAAATATATTGGTACAATTAAGACATGCAACACTTACATAGACTTAACCAGCTAATCGCGTGTGCCAAGTCCCTTTGTGGCCTCAATGTGGAAGCCTTCTAGCCACCGCTGCCTCCTCCTGCCTATCTCTACCAAATCTACAGTACCTGATATTCTTGATGCTATGCCAATTTTTAATATATAAACCCTTAATAGTTTTAAAAAAAATTAATAAATGCAATACCACCATTCCACCCCATCACCTATGTCAAATGGTGTCCAGTGAAACTGTGAGACCCCGTATTTTAAAGTAGATATTTATAATTATTATTTATATTTTTTATTCATATATTTTTATTTTATTTTAAAGAGTTCATCAGAAACCCAATTTTATATACAAGTCCGATATACCCACTATTCTCAGCCCATTCAAATAGATACCTTTCTACCATTCTCAGTTACCTTCTTCTTGGCTCTATAATTGATGACTAGGTTGCAACGTGCCTAATTTGTATGAGAAGTGCTGACAGAGCACTCTATCATGCATACTAATTGAAGCTATTAGTTGGACATGTCATGCATATTAGCTTAATTAATTCAATAAATCGGGATCAAATGGGGTCGATCGTGGAAGCAAAATAATGTGGGAGAAGAGCCCTGCAAATTCGACTACAGGCTTATTAGGCCTTGGTGAGAGCTGTAGGCCTCGAGCCGAGCGGGTTTGGGGAGCCCAACAGCCAAGGCTACTGGCTTTGGGGAAAAATTGGGACACGAGTGCAGGCCCATCGAAAGTTGGCCTTTGGGTTGGTCCGAGGAAGCCCAGCCGAAGCTGGGTTTCGGGTTTTGGGTTCGGGGTGAATCAAGCCCAACAGCAAAAGCTGTTGCGGGCAAGTGGGCCAAAGACTGGGGCAAAGCCCAGTGAATGATAGGTTGTTGTAGGCAGGCCTGCCATGGGCAAAAAGAAGCCCAACAGCTCTGGGCTGCTAGAGTTGGGCCAAGGACTTGGGACAACGGGCCAAGAAGGCTGCAGGCTTTCTTGGTTGGGCTAAGGGACTTCAGCCCCTATGAAGCTAATTAGGCCAAAGGCCTAGAGTCCGGGTTAGCGCAGCAAAGCCCAAAAGGCTGCTGCCGTGAGGTCCAAGGTGTCAAAACGACACCGTGCCATGACGTGCTCCACGTGGCTGGGGTTCAGGCCAACGGTGGTGGTTTGGCAGCTATGCCGCACAGTTCCCAATATTTTTCTTTTTTCTTTTTCGACTTGTCTAAGGTTTGAAAAACCCTAACATGCTTCTAATTTATTTATATGCTTTGACTCACAATTCCACATAGCAATATAATTGCCTAATACATGAAACATATATATTCACAAATATATGAAACATGTATATATATATATGTGTGTGTGTGTGTGTGTGTGTGTGTATGTATGCATGTCAGAAGGAAAATATAAACATAGGGGGTTCATGCATCATGTGGAATGTTTTCATGCTTCATGGTCGTTTCAAATATCTTCATTTATTTTAAGCGGACCTGATTGGCAAAAAACAAATAAGAGCCTTTGAATTTTGTAGAAGATAGTCTCTTCCTACGTTTCGTCAGTTCCTTAGCTTCTGACAAGAGCGTGCTGATAACGTGTTGTTGGCCTATTTAACTAAGCTATTATAGGAGAATAGAAAGGGGGAGGGCGGCGGTAGTGAGAGAGAAAAGAGAGAGATTTAATTGTGAGGTGTGTGTTGTATCACCCCCATTGTGCCTTTATTTATAGTAGTAGGATAGGTAAAATCCTTACCCTTCTAGGATTACAACTCTAATAGGAATTACTACTAAAAGGAATATAAAAGATATCCATAGATACACTAGGATTTACACAATCACATTCCTATTCCAAATAGGACTGCAACATATATCACATTAAATACTATATCATTTTTAGTTATTTAACATATTCAAAGCAATTTATATAAAAGTTTACTAAACACTAAGACAATGCTTCTTTTATTAAAAGCACTTTTAAAAAGTAAAAAATTTACCAAACACTCAACAACTTTATTTTACAGTTGTTTAACCCTTAGAGATGATTTGTCTACTTCAACTTCAG